CTGTGCTACGTTGTTATTTCAATTTTCTTACACATAGATGGTACGTAAAAGTAAATGTCATGTTGCTGATATTCGCATTCTCTCCAAAAGGCTTTTGCTATTTTTATGATGAATTCTTCTAACAGCTTATGTACTGAGTGTATCAGTGTTTTTTCGAAAAGTGTGTTGTACGCATTAGAGTAATTCGCGAATATTGTTTTGAATGTATGTTATCTAGTACATAAACTTTCTATATAAATTTTAATGAAAATTTGAGATATTATTTTCGTTACGCACTGACAAGGAGATGACGTCAACTGCAAAATCGATTTTTAACGAGATATAACGCCCTCGATAAACGTAATATAGAGTATGAATATTCTAAAAGGGTTTAGGTGAATGGGCCTTCGTTTCCTAAATATTGCGATGCGAAGTAAAAGTCATGAAGCCATGCCTCATATAAGACACAATGTGGCATTTACTTCCATCGAAGCGGCGTAGCTAAGGGGACTATGGCTCTTGCGCTGGTACTTTCTGCACCAGCAGCGAGTGTTCGAGTCCGGCTAACGAGGCGACAGCGTTGAATGTTTTTTTTTTGTGTTTCGTACTGTCGGACATACAGGGTGTTAGAAAAGTCTGGAAACAGTCGAATATCTTGAAAACAAACTATTTTAAAGAAAACTGTTTCAGATAAAAGTTGTTTAGTTTGAAGAGATCTATAAAAGGGTGTAATTGGTTTGACCTTGAATCATTTGTCTCATTATTTTATGCAAAAAAGCATTAAGGCAAGGTAATCGAAAGATGAATATTTTACGAGATATTTTGTATTCTATGTCCAAGTATTGGAAATTTCAAGTGTTATAATTCGATGAAAGTGCGTGCAAAAATAAAGCGGAGTATTCCTCAATATAAGGCGAAAACGATAAGGGACAGTTACTATCTTGACACCGAATCTTTCTGCAAAAATTACCTCTTTCTACATGCGCCGAGTTAAAAACCCTTTTGCATCGTTAAAGTACGTGCAAAAATGAAGCGGGACTTTCCTCAATATGAGAGGAAAACGATAAGGGACAGCTACTATCATGAGACTGAATCATTCTGCAAATATTGCTTCTTTCTACATGTACCGAGTTATAAATTCTTTTGCATGGTAAAAGGACGTGCGAAAATGAAGCGGAGCATTCTTCAGTATGAAAGGAAAACGATGGTCAGCTACTAACATGACACCGAATCATTCTGCAAAGATTACTTTTTCCTACATGCGCTGAATTATAAACTCTTTTATATGGTGAAAGTACGTACGAGAATGAAGCGGAGCAATCCTCAATATAAGGTGGAAATAAAATAAGGAACTATTACGGTCAGAAAACAAACCCCTTTTTGTCCAACTTTCTTCACTCGGCATAGCTTTTGCACACGGTGCTATGGTTGCTTTGTCCGATTAGGTCTGTGCGTAATTGGAATACTCCTATTAGAGCGAGAGGGATTAATTTTCATTCTTTCGCACTCTCCCTCCTTATTTTCCCCCCGTCCCTCTCTCTTTCTCCTTTTATCTTTCCATTTAGACTTTCTATTAATATTTCCTTCTCTTATTTTTGTGACATATCCCTTACATTTTAATACGAACTGCATCAAAGACTTATAAATGTCTTTTATTCAAGGTATCCTACATAATCGACTTATTGTATTTTTGATTCTTACACGCGAAGTAATACGATTTCATATAATAGCGTATATAATATCGCGCATCAATAACAATGCACTCTCGAGTGATCGCGTGCGCATCGCAGCGTATCAGTACCCTGTTGACAGTTTTGACTGACAGCATCGTACTGCATGTATGCAAAAGTTTGCTTGGTCTTATTTCTCATACAAATAGTGAAATGTGATAACGCGTAATTACATAACAACCGTCGTGAAAACGTGAAGAAGATGGAAAGCAAGAAATTTACTACACATATGAAGACCATTACGGCCAAACGACTTGTACGAAAAAGAGGTTGGGCAAAGAGGTTTGTATAAAAATTCTTTTTATCTTAAAAATATCTTATGTCTCCATTTTAGACATTGTACTACCTGCAATGCAATGTGTTCTGACAAAATAAACGTACTAGTTTTTTAAGAAAAATATTCCAAGGAAATTTATAGCGTTCCACTTTTTTCGCAATATCATATAAGTCAAATGAGCAATGTAATCAACAATACATAGCTCATTACAAATTGTACAGTACATATTGTAGATTTATAAGCATTATTGGACAAAAATGCAGCACAGAACTTCAAAAGTAAATCACATTCCTAATACATAGACGTTTGCGCGCCACACAAATACACACACACACACACACATACACATCATTCATTATAATTAGTTGGAACAATAAGGAAAGAATGCACAATTTCCCAGATTTTACGTCTTACCGAGATATGTTGAAAATTATCAAGCGCGGAAATAACATGTTATTGACTAATGTATATTCACAGAAGAATTCGTTATTTCATATCATATTATAATCCTTTTTTCGTTTTATAGGCAGATGCTATCGAAGAAAGAGATAGAAATAGATAACAAAAACTCGCAGACTAATTTGGTGAATTCAGAAGGCAGTGCCGGAGTAATGAATGAACAAGTAAATACAATTGTGCAGGATATTACACCGCAAGGTACGTATAATAAAAATTTCCTGGATGCCGCAGATAACGAAAATAGTTATGACGGCAGGGAGGTGGCAATACATAGTAATAATGTAGATAATAGCATACCTGAAGGTCGACGCATAGTTTTATGTTGAATGAGATCATATGTTCAACACAGAACATATGTTTTATGTTGAATGAGATCCATAGAACATTTGATAACCATGCGCGAGGAATTGAGTGCCAATTTAAAGATTGGAAACTCGTCAAATCTCATCATCATGGGTTACCGACGCAATTGTTCTTCAAATGCGACATGTGTCATTACGAAGACAACATTTGGTCAGAAGCTCTCGAGTCTAATAAATGTGATATTAACGCAGTAGCTGTTATTGGAACAGTAACAGCTGGTATAGGTTATTATCAATTAGAAGGCTGTACTGCGATGAGTATTCCTTGCATGTCAGAAAAAAAATATATTGAAGAAAGAGAAAAAATAGTGCATGACTTCGAGAATACTGCCATAGAAAATATGAAAATGGCTGCTGAAGCTAAAAAACAACTTGCTCTTGAAAAAAAAATGAAACTATAAACGGTATTCCGTATATAACAGTGGTGGCAGATGGCAGCTGGATGAAAAGATCGTATGGTATTGCATACGATTCACTTTCTGGTGTAGGTGCTATAATTGGTTTTCGCACAGAGAAAGTTCTCTTCGTTGGCATCCGTAATATATATTGTGCAATATGTGATACAGCAATGCATAAAAATATAGAAAGTAAGAAACATAAATGTTACAAAAATTTTGATCGCAGTACAACCTCTACAAGCATGGAAAGTGATGTAATTGTAGAAGGATTTAAAAGTAGCATTGAAATGCACGGGCTCATATACAAAACAGTTATTGTTGATGGTGACAGCAATGTGTATCAGTCCATTATTGACAATAGACCGTATCGCGATCAAAATATAACAGTGAAGAAGGTAGAATGTACGAATCATCTTCTTCGTAACTTATGCAAAAAAGTGAAAGCCGTGGGAGAGATAACACAACCAAAGCATCAAAGAAAGCGCGGTTTTGTACAGATACGAAAAGTTGTGAAAAACAACATTTTGAAAATCCGAAAAGAAATAATGGAGGCAGTTGCTATACGAAGAGAAGAAAAGCTTTCTCAACATTGTAAAGCCATAGAATTGCAAAAAGATATTTTAAACATTCCTAGTTATGTGTTCGGTGAACGTAAACGCTGCGAGGAACGCGGCCGAAAATATAAATTGAATAACGATGACAAGGAGACAAATTATGTACCGTTTCTAAAAATGCATGGTATGTATCAAAAAGTGGAAAAAGCTGTCACGTACATTAGCGGTTAATCTGACAGCTTATTATTAAATTTAACAAATAATCCTGCAGAATCGTTCAACTCAATAATCTATAAGTTAATAGCAGGAAAACGCCTTTTTCTTGGCTCAAGGGGATCGTATAATGCTCGAGTTGCAGGAGCTGTCGTGCAACATAATACGCAACAAGTTCTAACGGAAATTTATAAAAATAAATGTCAAAACATTTCTTATATTGTTGAGCAAATGGAAAGGCGGCAACAAAAAAAAGTCGCTATAACTAGGGAATCTCGGTAGATGCGCGAAAAGACAAATAAATGGAAAAGAAAATCGGGAACAGATCACTTTTACGGTCCGCAATCCCACAAGCCCGATCTTCCAGACAATATTTTTGAGCAACTTCATGTAAATCATATGAACAAATTGCTCGAAAATAGTAAGAACTGGAAGGAATTAGAACGCGAAACTATAGGGCAACATAAATCAGAGTTATGGGAATCTTTACGAGGAGAAATGTTGACGGCTTCCAATTTTGGAATAGTATGTCGTATGAGACCGACGACGTCATGTTGTTAAAAACATTTTATTTCCTCCGTTCACAGACACTGCAGCCATGAAATATAGTCGCGATAAAAAGGAAATTGCAAGACAAGAAATTGCTAAAAAGCTAAAGAAACAAATAAATGTTTGTGGATTATTTATCGACCAAGAAAATCCATGCTTGGCTGCTCATCCCGATGGTTTAATCGATGATGACGGCATAATCGAGATTAAATGTTCTTTATCGGCGGAAAATATGACTGCGGAGGAAGTCATACAGACCTTGCCTCAAATAAAAAGTATATTTGACAGAAAAAAACCCCGACATAATGAATTGAAATCACCGCTTTTTTATCAGGTGCAAGGTCAATTGAATATTACACAACGAAGTTATTGCATTTTCGTCATATGGACGCCAAAAAGTAGCAAAACTATATGTGTTAATAAGGACACAGATTTTTGGATAAAACATGATGCTTTTACTTACACGTTTCTATACCAAATGTATGCTTCCGGAAATTTTGGACAGTCGCCACAATAGATACATGCCTATTAGAAATCCAAAATATATATTAGAAGCAAAGAAAGAAGCATGCACAAAAAGAAATCGTGTACAAGTTGTTGGAAAAGATATGGAAGAAGAAAACGTTTGCAAACCGGGCAAACGATTAAAACAGGACGTTTCACAAATGAAAATAGTAGTAACAGATAATATAGCTTTCTGTAATATAAAGAATGAAGATTGCATTTTTATTTGTTATTCTAGTGAAAAAAGCGATCTGGCTAAGGAAGAAATGGCAAAACGGACACAGATATTAGATAACATGAATGCCTCTCTGGATACAGTAAGAAAGAATGTGTTATCATCGAAAAATAAATTGAGTGATAATCCGCTGGACGCCTTGTTGCGTATAATAAGGGAAACAACGTGTATTGAAACGCAAAGCGTATTGTACATAGACTTTCCTGACCTAATTGTAGCAAGCAAAGTGATAAAAGCTTGCAAATTATAGGTGGAAATTGTACGGATTATTGGCGATGTATATACTTCAATGAAACCATACTTCATGTATATGATAGCCTACCCGGCAGTACATACGAAAAACTAGCAAAAGAAGAAAAGGAATATATTCGCCAACGTTACCTAACAATAACAAAAGAAAAGATTATTTTTGAAAAAGTTCAAATACAACAGGATAAAATTTCTTGTGGAATTTTTGCTGCTGCTTTTGCAACAACATTAGCTTTAGAAGAAAATCCGTATGAGGAGAGATACTTTACAGATATGCAAAGTTTGAAGCAGCATTTGATACTAACTATTGAAACAAACCAGCTACTACCGTTTCCACATAGATCTAATAAAAAAATAATAAATAAATAAAATATGCCGTATAGTAATGAAAAATAATTTCAAATGAAGCAATGGAGGTTTACAGAGCATTTCAATAAAGCCATTTATATTGTGCATATTTAAAAGTGTCTAATAAAATTTATCTCTAAGAGACATCACACTTATGTAAAAGGTGAGTCGAATATATTTGTCTCTAAGTGACATCCAACCTGTGCAAAAGGTATGTCGAATACAATTTGTCTGTAAGAGATATCACACCTATGTAAAAGATGTGTCGAATACAATTTGTCTGTAAGAGACATTGCAGCCATATAAGAGGTGTTTCGAATACAATTTGTCTGTAAGAGACATCACACCTATGTAAAAGGTGTGTCGAATACAATTTGTCTGTAAGAGACATTACAGCTATATAAAAGATGTGTCGAATACAATTTATCTGTAAAAGACATCACACCTATGTAAAAGGTGTGTCGAATACAATTTGTCTGCAAGAGACATCACATCTATGTAAAAGGTGTGTCGAATACAATTTGTCTGTAAGACACATCACACCTATGTAAAAGGTGTGTCGAATACAATTTGTCTGTAGAAGACATCACACCTATGTAAAAGGGGGTGTATATCAGTTGGACACGGGGCAATTGGACACGGTCCAATCACAAGTCGCTGTTCCAAGGGACCCTACAAATGTCTCTAATCACACGGTGCTGTGATTGGCTGTGTCCAAATGCACCATGTCCAAGTGCACCGCTCCCTGTAAAAGGTATGTCGAAAACAATTTGTCTGTAAGAGACATCACACCTATGTAAGAAGAATGTGGAATACAATTTGTCTGTAAGAGACATCACACCTATGTAAAAAGTATGTCGAATTCAATTTGTCTGTAAAAGACATCACACCTATGTAAAAAGAATGCCGAATACAATTTGTCTGTAAGAGACATCACACCTATGTTAAAAGTATGTCGAATTCAATTTGTCTGTAAGAGACATTACACCTATGTAAAAAGTATGTCGAATACAATTTGTCTGTAAGAAACATTACAGCTATATAAAAGGTGTGTCGAATACAATTTGTCTGTAGGAGACATCACACCTATGTAAAAGGTATGTCGAATATAATTTGTCTGTAAGAGACATTACACCTATATAAAAGATATGTCGAATACAATTTGTCTGTAAGAGACATCATACCTATATAAAAACTGCGTAAAATGAAACTTACTTGTAAAAAACATTGTACAAAACTGTGACGTTTAAAAAAGCATTTTCTATAAAAACATGAATTATTTTTACGCACACAAACATACACATACGCAAAGACGCGCGCGTACGCACACACACACACACATATACGAGGTGTAAACCCGACCAGGCAACCTCCACACGGTACACCTTGGGTAACGCTAATGCTGGCGGTCCGGGAAAAAATGATTATACAAAGTGTCTAACGATAACTGGGAAATATCTCGCAAACATGTAGAATAGATCAAATTGAATATAATTCTTTCTGCAAATAATTATGTAACATTTGGAGTTATTATTTTGTGTATAGTATTATTTTAATTATATCTCGATCCATCGCGAACATGTGATAAACGTGTTACTAACAAACATTTTTAAAAAACATTTTATTCAGTTTAACCTAATCTATATTGTACATATGGTGTGGACCACTTCGTGTTAGACACACTGTATAATTTCATGTAATTATATATAAATCATTTTTTCCCGGGATGTTATATTTTAATCACTTTTTTGTCAACTTATGTTATAGCTTATAATATTAGCAGAGGATGCAAGTCCATACGATTTTATCATAAATTTTATCACTATGCTGTGTCCCTTTACTCACAAGCAGATGACGCCAACTGCAAAATCGATTTCTGAACAAGATATAGCGCGTTTGATACGCGTAATATAAAGTATCAAAATTCTAAAAGAGTTTAGGTAAATGAGCCTTTGTTTCCTAAATATTGCGATCAAAGTGAGAGTCATGGAGCCATGTCACATATAAGCCACAACGTGGCATTCACTTCCATCGAAGCAGCGTAGCTAAGCAAACTGAGACTCTTACGTCGGTACTTTCTGCACCGGCAGTGAGTGTTCGAGTCCGGCTGAAGGGGCGACCGCGTACAATATTTTTTTTGTGTTTCGTATAAAGCTGAAGTTTGAAGTTTCAAGACGCTACGTTGTTTAATATTAGTTTGGCAGCCATCAATAGTGAACGCTCTCAGTACATTTGTAAACATGGAGAAAATTGGTCATCGTTATGGGATACAATATTTTCATTTGAAAGGTCTCAGTCCAACCAATATCAAAACTGAGCTAGATTCTACTCTGGGGGAGTCTGCTCCCTCGTTTACAACAATAAAATATTGGGTGGCAGAGGTTAAAAGAGGCCGTAAGAGCTGCCAAGACGAACATCGCAGTGGTCAACCAAATGAGGTGACCACGCCAGAAATGGTGACGAAAATCCATCGAGTAACTGTAGTATATATTTTTTGTATTTCTATATCGATATAATTGTTATGTGAACAATTAGGGTAGTGTCACGTTGCGGTAATGAAAAATAATGTAAAAACATACGGTTTACAATTTGCAGACATAGACATAGATTGTGCAAAATTTTCAACACATTATGTCTACAATAATTGTAAACAGTATGTTTTTACATTATTTTTCATGACTAAAATGTGACACTGCCCTAATTGCTCACATAACAATTACATCCACACAGAAATACAAAATATATATACTACAGGTATACATATATATTCAATACAAAACAAAAAAATATTGCATGCAGTCGCCTCGTCAGCCGGACTCGAACACTCGCTACCGGTGCAGAAAGTACCGGCATAAGAGCCTCAGTCCGTTTAGCTACGTCGCTTAGGTGAAAGTCAATACCACGTTGTGCCTTATATGTGACATGACTCCATGACTCTTACTTTGCATTGCAATATTTAGGAAACGAAGGCCCATTTACCTAAACTCTTTTAGAATTTTGATACTCTATATTACGCGTATCAAACGCGCTATGTCTCGTTCAGAAATCAATTTTGTAGTTGGTGTCATCTCCTTCAGAGTAAAGGGACATAACATAGTGTTTGTGATAAAATCGTATGGACTTGCATCCTCTGCTAATATTATAAGCTATAATATAAGTTGACCAAAAAATGATTAAAATATAACATTCCAGGAAGAAATGATTTATATATAATTATATGAAATTATACAGTGTGTCTAACACGAAGTGGCCCACACTATATATACATCATAGATTAGGTTAAACTTAATAAAATTTTTTTACCGTTTTTCAAACCACGTAAAATGTCCAGTAAAAAAATTTAGCGAACCAAAGCAGATAATGGGAAATGAACTCTATCAGCGAGATATCTTATCGAAAATGGCTAAAATGTCTGTTAGTAAAACGTGTATCACATGTCGCGATGTATTGAGAAATAATTAAAATAACATTATACACATAAGAACTCCAAATTTTATATAATTATTTGCAAAAAAATTTTTATTTAATTTGATTTATTTTATATGTATAACGTAATTCTAACATAATATAACACAATATAATAACATAACACATAACACATTTTATTTTAGTTTATTTTATTTAATAATTATAAATTAATATTTTTGCTCCAACTTTGTCATCTCTATCGTCTCTACCGCCTCTTTCGCCTTTTCCGCCTCTTCCGCCTCTTCTGCCTCTTCCGCCTCTTCCGCCTCCTTTGCCTCTTCCACCTCTTTCGGCTATTCCGCCTCTTCTGCCTCTTCCGCCTCTTTCGCCTTTGGGCCTGAGCACAAAATTATCGCAATCGTTTCCGACAGTGTCGTAGACGTAAGTCGGTGTCGGAAATCAATACACAAGGATTGACGTAAACGTATGTCGTATCCATCGCATCGCCTCTGACTCCCCTCTTTATCACATCGATTTTTATTGATATTTAGGATTCTATTTTATTTATGGTACGTGGTATATTTACATTATACATTACCTTTTTCAAATATTCTAAATGGTTTAGACATGAATTGTGAATAGGTAATAAAATATTAGGTGGCAAACTTAGTTCCTGCGGTTTTTTGTTTAAAAAACTCATTTATGTCGACATCAAAAGCAAAAAATACATTAATCGAAGTATTTTCCCTCGCTAGCTATACATTTTTCCCATCTTTCGGGCAACGCGTAGATTTCGCGACAATAGAACGATTGGTCTTTTGATGCAATCCATTCGTCGATCCATTTTCACACATCCTCGTAATTTCTGAAGTGTGTATCCACCAAGCCGTGCTGCATCGACCGGAACAAGTAATAGTCCGAAGGAGCTAAGTCTGGTGAATACGCTGGGTGCGGAAGAACTTCCCACTCGAGCTGCATCAGTGTTTCTTTGACGGCTTTGGCAACGTGTGGTCGAGCGTTGTCGTGCAAAAGCATGACTTTACGTCGATTGCTGGCTACTGCTGGCCTTTTTTCCAACAATGCTTCATTCAGACGGTTTAATTGTGATTGATATCGATCCCCCGTGATACTTTCGTTCGGTCTGAGTAGCTCATAATAAACGACGCCGTGCATATCCCACCAAATGCAAAGCATTGCTTTGTGGCCATGAATATTTCTCTTTGGTGTGGATGTCGATGGTTGGCCAGGGTCTACCCATGATTTTCTTCGTTTAGGATTATCGAAGTATATCCATTTTTCATCGCCAGTCACTATGCGCCACAAAAAACTCTTCTTTTTCTGCCTGGCGAGCAGAGAAATAGAGATGTTTAAGCGATTCGCAATGGCATTTGCGGTTAATTCGTGTGGTACCCATTTTCCCTCCTTTTGAATTTTTCCCATTGCATGTAGACGTTTGGAAACAGCCATCGGAGTAACATTTAATGCTGCAGACAATTCTTGGAGCGTTTGAGTAGAGTTTTCGTCCAATAATGCCTGCAAATCGGTGTCTTCAAACTTTTTCGGTTGGCCTGAGCGTTCTTTATCATTGACATCAAAATCACCACTCTTAAATCGCTGAAACCATACTTGGCATGTTCTTTCCGATGGAGCATAATTGCCATAAGCTTCGAAAAGCAATTTATGAGCTGCAGCTGCAGTTTTTTTCAAGTCAAAGTAATGAAGCAGCACATGTCGAAAAAACAACTTATCACGTTCCATATTTAATCAAAAGAAAAAATAGCACTGCTCGCTTAAATGAATCTCTTCGCACTGAATTTTATTGACAAATGTCTAACCTCTAAAATGCAGCCAGTTTCAGATGTCAAAATAAATTACACCTACAACTAACGTCATCTAACTGTGAGCCGCAGGAACTAAGTTTACAACCTAATATATGTATGTGTGTGTGTGTGTGTATGGTCTTATGTACGTGTATGTATATATGTATAATTTTATATATTATTAGTAACAGTATTTGATTTATTTATAATTTGTATATAATAATTATATAATAATTGTGTAGTAATAAGATTCTTTAAATTCATTTAATATTTTCATGGTATATTCGATATTTTTCTATTGATGAAAAAAATAATACTAGAAATATCCTTTTTGGTTACAGAAAGATTTATTGAATCAAAGAGAGTTTCTTTTACGTGCTTTAAGTGATCTTAAAACTTTGTCAGATAATGGAAAATCATCATTACACTTCAATTGATTCATATATAGATGATTCAATTGCATATACTGAAGATATGGAGTCTTCAACTGTAAATGTCGTTATTGAAGAAAAAGTGGGTGACAATTATCTTATCGAATTATACAGGGAACGAAGATGTTTGTACGATAAAAGTCATCGGGATTTTAAAAATAAACTAATAAAAGAAAATGTTTGGTTCAAAATTTCTACATGCAACAGAAAAACCTTGGTAATTATATTTTTACTATGATAATAATATAATCATTGTAATATAATAAATACTTTTATATGTTCCATTTTATGTGTAAGTTATTATATTTATTATAGTTATTATATTATACATTTTTGTAGGTAAGCATTACACTCCTGAATATTGTCAAACAAGATGTTCTTCTTTGCAGGACCAATATAGCCGCGAAAAACGCAATATTAAAGATGATTACAAAAGTGGAAGTGTTTGTTCAAAACGCAAAACATCGGCATTTTTTTCCCAACTTTCTTTTCTTGACAATTTTATTAAAAGGAGAAGGTAAGCATTATTACATTATAAAACTGTTTTAAATGTTTATTCTTTAAAAGTTGAGAATTGTTTACATATATTTTGTTATTGTTTCAGAACGTTTTCCAACGTTGAAAAGAAAAAGAACATACTTCAAATCATCAAAAATTCAGAAGCAATAAACTCAATAACTCATGACAAGAAAAGTAATAACGAATCTACTGATGAATCAGATTCTGAACAGCAAGATACCATTAAAGTGCCTCAAAAAAGAAACATTAGTGCATGTCAAGATGTATCTCAAGATAAGGAAAACATTGAACAAGATTATAATAGACGTAAAAAACGTAAAATTGATGAATCCAAAAATATTGATGAAACATTCACGAACATCAGCAATGCAATTTTGAATCTTCTCGAGAGTTCAAAAGAAAATACTACAGATAATGTAAAAACAATTGATCAGTCATTCACTGATTATATTCGCGTACATTTAGAAAATATCCCTGAACCCGAAAAATCAGCAAGAAAAAAATTGATAATTGATGCCCTCACTGCACCAATACATAAAACGTAATAAGATATATTGTATTGTCTTTTTAAAATGTTCTTATTGTTTTCAATTTTTGTTATATGTTCTATTTATGTAATTATGTTCTATTTATTTTCAATTTAATGTCTTAAAGACTTTGTAACTTAAATATTGTGTGTTCAAAACATGATTAAGTTGTTTGTATCGCTAAAAGCTTCGTTGTTATAAAAGTAATTTCTTTTAATTAAGTTATTTAATTTTGTTATTTTTTAAATTTTGTTATTTTTTTTATACAAAACAACTAGTTGAAAAAGTCATGTTATTCATAGTTATATAATCTTTTTAATATTACAAAAGTATTATTTTGCAATGCATTATCAAATATACTTTATAGTATATATTTTCAGTATATAATATATTCGCATGTTTTGTTTTATATTAAAGATTGATTATCTGTAAATGTCTCGATTGCAATATTCTGTAGAGTTTAGCGACATTTTTTTAATGTAAAGTATTATTCAAATAAAAATATATATCATCCATTATTCTTTTTCTATTTCATACAGATGTACCTTATTGAAACATCATTGCACACGTGAAATACTGATAGCAAAGTTATTGCATCATTTGGCTGCCACACTTGAGTAATTATGTAAAAAAAATGCTGTTGGGTAAGTAGAAATTATAATCAACCAAAATTATTATTATTAAATTATTAATATATAAACAATAAATAAATATTTATTTACATATTAGGCGACATATTAAAATTTTTATAAACGATTTCAGGTTCAAATAAAGTTGGACGATAAA